GGCTTACAAGCCCTGGCAACATCCCCGTAAATCTTCTTTGCACACTTTCCAATTTAATTATGTCTTTCCTATAACAGGGTGACAACAACTGTATGCAAAACTCCAAGTGCGGCCTTACCAACGACTTATGCAACTGTAACATAATGTCCCAACTCCGACACTCAATGTCGCGACTGAAGGCCAGCATGTTAAATGCCTTCTTCACCATCCTGTCTAATTTGGTGCCGCTTTCAGCGAACATACATCTGCTGCCCTACCCTCGCCTATCTTCTTGGTTAACTCTTCGAAAAACTCTAAAAGATTTGTCAGATGTGACTTCCCGCACATAGATCCATGCTGACTATCCCTAATCAGACCTTGACTAGCCAAATGTTGGTTGATCCTGTCCCTCAGTATCCTCTCCAATGACCTGCCTACTGCTGATGTCAGGCTCACTGGCCTGTAGTTCCCTGGTTTGTCTCTGCTACCTTTCTTAAACAATGGAACAACATTAGCCACCCTCCGGTCTTCTGGAACTTCACCAGTGGCTAAAGACGAAGCAAAAATCTCTGCAAGGGCCTCTGCAATTTCTTCCCTTGCCTCCCACAACATATCCAAGGCTGGAACCGAACCCGGGTCCCTGGTGCTGTAAGGCAGCAGTGCTCGCCACTGAGCCACTGTACTGCCTCAAATGAGACCACCTCGCATTCTTATAAATTCCAGTGAGTAGAGTCCCAACCTGTTTAGCTTTTGCTTGTAACAAAATAGCTTTGTACCAGGGCTCATCCTTGTGAACCTCTCTGAACTGCCTCCAAGGAAATGATTTTTTTCTTAAATAAGTGGACGAAAACTGCTCATAGCACTTGCAGATATGGTTTCACTAGCACCTTGTACAGTTGCAGTAAGACTTCCCTTCCCTTCTACTCCCTTCTACTCTAACCCCCTTGAAATAAGGGTCAATATTCCATTTGCCTTTCTGATTACCTGCTGCACCTGTGCACTAGCTTTGTACTTCTTGCACAAGTATCTCCAAGACCCTTTTCTGTTGCAGGTTTCTGTAGTTTTTCTCCATTTAAACAATACTGTTCATTTATTCTTCCTTCTAAAATGAACAACTTCACATTTTCCCACATAGTACTCCGTTTGCCAACTTCTTGCCCATTCACTTAACCTATCAATATCTCTCCTACTATCTCAATATCTCTCTGTAAACTGTTTGTATCCTTCTCGCAATTTTCTTTGCGTTGTCAGTAAATGTAGCTAGAGTACATTTGCCTCCCACCTCTAAGTCATTTATATAGATTGCTGAGACCGCAAATGTTTACACTGATCCCTGTGGAACCCCAGTGATTACAGGTTGCCAATCTGAAAAAGAACTCCTTATCCCTACTCGCTGTCCATGGCAATATACTACCTCCAACAACATAGGCTCTTGTCTTATAACTTAACATTTTGTGAGGTATCTTGTTGAATGCCTTCTGGGAATCCAAATGCAACTTATCTACTGGTCTCTCTTTATTCACTCTGGTTGAGACTTCCTCTCAAAATTCGAATAAATTAGTTAGCCATGATTTCCCTTTCATGAAGCCATGCTAATTCTCCTTGATTAGATTGGGATTTTTCCAAAAGTGCCGCTTTTACTTACTTTAGTAATTGATTCCAACATTTTTCCAACAATTGATATAGGCTTATTGGCTTGTGTTTTCTGTCTCTTCATTTTACAAACCCTATATCATATTGTATTTGCACAGAATTGAAGCTATTGAATACTTATTTATTTACTCCTGCTAAATGTCAGACTTGTATGTTTTCTTGTTCTGGAAACAGTTTATCTGACACCATGTAAATCATTTAGTTTGCTGAAGTAGAAGTTATTTGAATGTTATTTTACATATGTGATGCAATCTTTTTTTCCAAAATATCTATTTCCGTATATTAGGTCTTTAGTTTTTACAATTTCTACAAATTGCAAAACTTGCAAAACTGCTAAGCCAATGATAAAGTCATTTTCTATTTCTAGTCTTATCTTGTTCCTTAGCTTTGAATCACTTATAGCCATGTATGGAGTTCCACCCTGATAGATGACTTGATTTTTGTTTATTTTGCCAGTGGCCCCAAGGATAATGTGTTTGTTTATTTTGCTGATCATGGAGCTGACGGGATATTGGCATTTCCTAATAGTGATGTGAGTAACCTCTTCCAAAAGTACTTTCATTTGAGCAGTTAGGTAGACCTATTTGTTAGAGGCTTCTTACGCCGTCTTCAGTATCCAAGCTTCTACAGATGTTGAATTGCACAAATTTATTCCATTTTAATAGAATAAGTAGTTCATTGTTTTGATCTAAAAAATCAGTATGGCCTATGTATCACTTTGACAGGAATGCGATGCCATTAATAGTAGATTGTACAGGTCACCTTTGCTGCTGTTGAAGTTGTTCTAGTGCTCGTATCTGTGTGAATTCACTCTGCCTTTCTCGTTGCTTGTATGAATAAGGGAAGTTAACCATGCATGTAATTGTCCACATGTGACATAAGCAAATATGTGTGCACAAATCTCCTGCCTTTTTTTTCTTGGAGAAGTTAACCTGTCAGTTCGTTATTCCACCTTTACAACCTTGTACATTTATAGTTTGGTAACTTTTTTTTTTATTTTAAATGGTAATATCAGTAAAAGAAAACACTTCAAAGATGCTGTGAAATTCTTCCTTGATGAGTGACAGTGCTGATATTAATGATTTGAAGGAGCTTGTCGGAATAGTTCAGAATGGTGACAACTAGTCATCAGTTGAGCCATGCTGTTTTAGTAATGAAGCAGGGTGGTAGCAAAGAATGAAAGAAAACCAAGCAAATCTGCACTTTGGTCCCATACTGTGTGAGACATCTTACCCCATGTTTGCTAAAATACACAGTTGACGATTAACCTGTTGAGACACAGGAAGGCCCATGGCGGAAACTCATAGCCTTGAATAGACAATTCTCAAACTGGGAGACAGCTACCATCAAGTGCTACATGTTGCGCAAAATTATCCGCTGGTGACATAACTAAGATCTTTTGACCTCTGTGGCACTTGTCAGCTCTGCAGATAATTTTCATTATTTTCTGTGACAGCATTTTTCTCAAGACCATAAGGTATAGGATCAGAATTAAATCATTTGGCCCATCAAGTCTGGTCTGCCAATCAATCATGGCTGATATGTTTCTCAACCCCATTCTCCTACCTTCTCCCTGTAAACTTTTGGCTGAAGAAATTCCTTCTTATCTCAGTTCTAAAGTATCATTCCTTCACTCTGAAGCTTTACTCGGGCCCTAGTCTGCCCCATTATTGGAAACATTTTCTCCATGTCCACTCTATCCAGGCCTCCCAGTATTCTGTAAGGTTCAATGAGATTACTGTCATCCTTCTAAGCTCCATTGAGTACAGACCCAGAGTCCTCAACCGCTCCTCATGACAAGTTCTTCATCCCTAGATCATTCTCATAAACTTCCTTTTGGACCCAAGGCCACTGCATCGTTCCTTAGATATAGGGCCCTAAATCACACTCCATATGCCAAATGCGATTTTATTAGAGCCTTATACAGCATCAGTACTACACCCCTGCTCTTGTATTCTAGCTGTCTTGAAATGAATGTTAACATTGCAGTTGCCTTTCTAACTGCCAAGTGAATTTCCACGTTAAGCTTAAGAGAATCCTGAACTAGGACTCCTCTGTCCCTTTAGTGCTTGAGATTTCTGAAACCGTTCCGCCTTTAAAACATAGTGTATGCCTCTATTCTTCCTACCAAGGTGTATAACCTGGTATTTTCCCACATTTTATTCCATCTGCCACTTCTTTGTTCAGACTCCTAGCCTGTACAAATCCTTCTGCAGCTTTTCTGTATCCTCAACACTACCTGCCCCTCAATCTACCTTTATCATCTGCAAATGAGGCAACAATGCTCTCAGTTCCTTCATCCAAATCATTGATCTATAACGTGAATAGTTATGGTCCCAACACTGACCCCTGCGGAACTCCATTAGTCCCTGGTAGCCATCCTGAAAAAGACACTCTTTATCCCTACTAACTGCCTTCTGTCAGTCAGCCAGTACCATGCTCCTAACACAGTGGGCTCTTATCTCATTAAGCAGCCTCCTGTGCGACACCTTGTCAAAGATCTTCTAGAAATGCAAATAGATCATGTCCACTGGCTCTCCTCTGTGGAGGTAACAAGCAGGTTAGACAAAGAATTTAATGGTTACCTTATAACTCCATCAAGCTGTTTCTGTGTGCTCTGGAGCACATCCTCCTTTTGACTTGTCACAGTTTAAAAGCCCTGTTTGTTTCTCTGTGAATTGAAACTGATTTGCTCGTTTACTTATCTGTCCCACCGACATGAAGAAAGGTGTAGCTGGCTGTGTTAGATAATCTAATCCTCAAAATGTTTTCCTACCTTCAAAGTAAGTTATCATACACTTTAATATAAAGCAGAAGAGTTTGTGTTTTAACTGTTTTTTTGAATCTTTATTTAATTCTTGACTCCTACAAAATTGCTGATTGAAGCTTTGTTTTCTTTTCAGCTTCAAGTTGATGATCTGCAAAGGACCATTAGATTTATGCACAAACAAAAAAAATACGCAAAGGTATTTTAGAACTTCTTAGCCATGCCAGAATGTGAAGAGAGGGGTTGGTTGGTGAGACCTGATAGAATTCAGATTGAAAGTTTGTTTTGCCAAAGCTTAAGAGGAACTGTGACTGTCTTAGAGAGGTGAACCTTGAGACCTTGCCCAGAATATACCTGTTAAACTAAGACTAAACACTGTCGGGTCGTGGGAGAGAGCGACAGAGAAATCATAATACCCTATCGTTTTAAGGAAATTCTTCAGAACTTGGCTGCAGCCAGTTGGAATTACTAGTATATTCTGTGATGTTTATACCCTAAAAGCTTTGGAGTAAAGTATTTGTCTTTGTGAGATTGGCAGCTATTTTATTTGTTAGTTCATTCATTCGTGGGATGTGGGTGTCACCGGGCTGGGCCAATATCTATCCCAGAGGGTAGTTAAGTATCAGATTTGAAATCCACAAGAAGTAAGGAAGGTAGCTTCCTTCCCTAAAGGACATTAGAGAACCAGATGGTTTTGTTTTCCTGATAATTAACAACGGTTTCATGGTTATTAGACACTTATTTCCAGATTATTACTGAATTCAAATTCCTCCAACTGCTATGGTGGGATTTGAACCCAGTTCCCCAGAACAATACCTGGGTCTCTGGATTGATAGTGGTAATACCACTAGGCCATTGCTTCCTCTGAAACTGCATCTGTATGTGAACAGCTAACTGTGGATCAATAGCTTATATATTAATTTAGTTGTGGCTGGTACTGAAGGAGACCAGCAGTAACTAAATATAGTTGACAATTTCCATTATTTATCCTGAGATAAGATTCATTGAGTTAATATAATGTCAATGTTCTGCTGTCCTACAGCTAAGACCAATTGGGAGATTTTTCACAGTGGAGTTGTTGCAAGGTAAAATTATAGTAGAGGTACACCATTTTGAAGTAAAAAAAACCTGAGGCACCATTGGTTCAGTAGTAACAACATTTTTGGTTTTTGGATTACTCTACAGGTGTTTAGGCAGCAATTTGAAGCAAAGGATGGCATCATTTAATAGTTAGCTGTAAGAAGGAAAGAATTTTGTGGAGTAGACGAGGTAGGGTGAGGAATGGAGAAGGGCATTCCTGAAGAAGGGTAATACCCGAAATGTTGACTGCTCCTTTCCTCCAGATACTGCCTGGCTCGCTGTGTTCTTCCAGCCTCCTGTTTGTCTATGTTAGGTAAAGGATAATATTTAGTTAATAAATAAGAGTTTTGATCTTTAGAATTTTGGTTCATATTTCTTGCTATTCCAATGACAAACCATCGGTACTTTAGAATAAAGAAAGAACCTTGGAATTGTGATAGTTGGCAAATTGGCTTTATACAGTGCCTGGTATTGAAATGGTTAAAGACACCTCAGTAGAATATTGTCAAACAAAATTTGAAATTAAATTGCATAAAAGAAAATTTTAGGACATGGCTGAAGATAGATTTTTTTTTAAAAATACGTGTATTTTAGAAACTGCAAGATAATTTCAAAGTTCAGGACATTGGCCAGTAGTGGACTGATTTTAAAATTAGTTAAAAGCAAAATACTGCAGATGCTGGAAAGCTGAAATGAAAACAAAGCGCTGGAAAAATTCTCAAGTCTGGTAGCATCTGTGGAAAGAAAAACAGAGTTAATGGTTTGCGTCCAGTGACTCTTCTTTAGAACTCAAGAGTCATCAGGGTTCTGAAGAAAATATTGGTATGTTGGACTTTTTTTTTTTCTCTCTCTGATTCTCACAGATACCAGACCCACTCAGTTATAGAGTCATAGAGTTATGTAGCACGGAAACAGACCCTTCGGTCCACCTAGTCCATACTGACCAGATATCCAAAACTGATGCAGTTCCATTTGTCAGCATTTGGCCTGTATTCTTCTAATTCCTTTCTATTCATATACCCATCCAGATGCCTTTTAAATGTCGTAATTGTAACAGCCTCCACCACCACCTCTGGCAGCTCATTCCACACACGCACCACCTTCTGCATGAAAAAAATTGCCCCTCAGGTCCCTTTTAAATCTTTCCCCTCTCACCTTAAACCTATGCCCTTTAGTTTTGGCCTCCCCTATCCTGGGAAAAGGACTGTGTCTATTCACCCTAGCAATGCCTTTCATGATTTATAAACCTTTATAAGGTCACCCCTCAGTCTTCGGCACTCCATGGAAAATAACCCCAGTTTATTCAGCCTGTCCCTCTCGCTCAAACCCTCCAATCCCGGCAACATTCTTCTAAATCTTTCCTGAACCCTTTCAAGTTTAACAATATCTCCCTTATAGCAGGAGAGCAAAGTGAATGCAGTATTCTAAAAGTGGCCTCATCAATGTCCTGTACAGCTGCAACATGACATCCTAACTCCTATACTCAGTGCACTGACCAATGAAGGCAAGCATACCAAACGCTGCATTCACCACGCTGTCTATGTGTGACTCTGCTTTCAAGGAACTGTGCACCCACACCCCTAGGTCTCTTTGTCCGCAGGATCCTAACATAAATTATATAAGGCCTGTCCTGGTTTGCCTTACCGAAATGCAACACCTCACTTTTTTCTAAATTAAACTCCATCTGCCATTCCTTGGCCCATTGGCCCAATGAATAAGATACCACTGTACTTTGAGATAACTTTCTTCACTGTCCACCACACCTCCAATTGGTGTCATCTGGAAACTTACTAACCATGTGTCCTATATTCACATCCAAATTATTTATATAAATGACGAAAAGCAGTAGACCCAGCACCGATCCTTGTGGCACACTGCTGGTCACATGCCTCCAGTCCAAAAAACAACCCTCCACTGACACCCTCTGTTTCCGGCCTTCGAGCCAATTTTGTATCCAATTGGCTAGCCGTCCTTGGATTCCAGGTGATCTAAGCTTGCTAACCAGTCTACCATGTGGAACCTTGTTGAACGCCTTGCTGAAGTCCATGTAGATAATGCCTACCATTCTGCCTTCATTAGTTTTCTTTGTCACCTCTTCAAAAAACTCAATCAAGTTAGTGAGACGTGATTTTCTACGCACAAGTCCATGTTGAATATCCTGAATCAGACCTTGCCTTTCCAAATGCATGTAAATCCTGTCTCTTGGAATTGCCTCCAACAACTTACCCACCACTGACAGCAGGCTCACTGGTCTATAGTTCCTGTGGCTATCAATGATACAAATATCTCAGCAAAGGGAGCAACGATCTGTTCCCTAGCTTCCCACAAAGTTCTCAGATATACCTGAACAGGTACCAGGGATTTATCCACCTTTTTGTGTTTTAAAATGTCCAGCACCTCTTCAGGATATCACTATTTATTTCCCCAAGTTATGTAGCTTCCATGTCTTTCGCCACAGTAAACACTGACATGAAATACTGGTTTTGTATCTCACCCATCTCCTGTTGTTCCACACATGGTTGGCCCTGTTGACCTTTAAGGGGCCCTTTTCCCTCCCGAGTTGCTCTTTTGCCCTTAATGTATTTGTAGAACTCTTTAGATTCTCCTTAACCCTATTTGCTAAAGCTATTTCATGTCCCCTTTTGCCTTCCTGATTTCACTTTTAAGTATAGTCCTACTGCCTTTATAGTCTTCTAGGGATTCACTCGATCTCTCTCTGCTGTCTATACCTGACATATGCCTCCTTTTTCTTGACCAGATCCTCAATTTTTCTAGTTATCTAGAATTCCCTACACCTGCCAGCCTAGCCTGTCGCACTAACAGACACATAGTCTCTGAGCTCTCATTATCTCATTTTTGAAGGCTTCCCAATTTCCAGCTGTGCCTCTACCTGCAAACATCCGCCACCAATAAACTTTTGAAAGTTCTCGCCTAACACTATCAAAATTGGCCTTCCTCCAATTTAGAACTTTAACTTTTAGATCAGGTCTATCCTTTTACATCACTATTTTAAAACTAATAGAATTATGATCACTGGCCCTATGGTGCTCCCCCATTGATACCTCAGTCACTTGCCCTGCCTTATTTCCCAGGAGAAGGTCAAGTTTTGTTCCTTCTCTAGCAGGTACATCCACATACTGAATAAGAAAATTTTCTTGTTGACACTTAAACGCCTCTCCATCCAAGCCCTTAACACTATGACAGTCCCAGTCTCTGTTTGGAAAGTTAAAATTCCATACCATTACATCTATATTATTCTGACAGATAACTGAGATCTCCTTACATATTTGTTTCTCAATTTACCGCTGACTATTAGGGGGCCCAAACGACAATCCCAACAAGGCGATCATCTCTTTTCTTCTTTCTCAGTTTCACCCATATCACTTCACTGGACATGCTCCCAGGAATGTCCTCCCTAAGTACAGCCATAATGTTATCCCTAACCAAAAACGCCATGCACACCCACCACCCACCATCTTTCCTTTAGCATCTATACCCTGGAACATTAAGCTGCCAATCCTAGACAACAAGGTGCAGGGCTGGATGAACACAGCAGGCCAAGCAGCATCATAGGAGCAGAGAGGCTGACGTTTCGGGCCTAGACCCTTCATCAGAAAAGGGGGAGGGGAAGGGGGTTCCGAAATAAATAGGGAGAGTGTGGGAGGCGGATAGAAGAGGAATAGAGGAGAGGATAGGTGGAGAGGAAACAAACAGGTCGAAGAGGCGGGGATGGAGCCAGTAAAGGTGAGTGTAGGTAGGGAGTTAGGAAGGGGATAGGTCAGTCCAGGGAGGACGGACAGGTCAAGGGGGAGGGATGCGGTTGGTCGGTAGGAGATGGAGGTGCGGCTTGAGGTGGGAGGAGGGGATAGGTGGGAGGAAGAACAGGTTAGGGAGGCAGGGACGAGCTGGACTGGTTTTGGGATGCGGTAGGGGGAGGGGAGATTTTGAAAGCTGCCAATCCTGCCCCTCACTGAGCCAAGTTTCTGCAGTAGCTAGGATATCCCAATCCCGTGTTCCCAGCCATGCCCTGAGTTTATCTGCCTTACCTGTCAGGCCTGTTGCATTGAAATAAATGTAGTTTATCAGTCCTACCTCATCCTCTGCCTTGCTCTTGCCTGCCTTGACCATTTAACTTGCTCCTCTTCTCTCTTGTACCAGCCTCAGACTTATCTCTTTTCTCACTATCTTTTTGCCCGCAACCCCACCCAGAAATTAGTTTAAAGCTTCCCGAGTAGCACTAACAAAACTCCCTGCCAAGCCACACATTCATCTGCCCTAACCTCCTATTCCTACTCTCACTGGCCCATGGCACTGAGAGTAATCCAGATGTTGCTGGTCTCGAGGACCTACTTTTTATTTCCTGCCTAATTTCCTATATTCTATTAGCAGAACCTCTTGCCTTTCTTTTCCTATGTCATTGGTACCATGAACTTCTGCTTCAAAATTTTGAGAATATTCTGCATCCTCTCCCAGATATCCTTGACCCTGACACCGGGGAGGCAACACACCATTCTGATGTCCCACTGTTGGCCACTGAAACATCTGTCTGTGCCTCTGACTAGAGAGTCCCCTATCACAATCGATAGTTTGGAACCTGACACACTCCCCAGTACAGTAGAGCCAGTCTTGGTACCTGAAATCTGGTTGTTGGTGCTACATTCCCCAGAGAGTTCATCCTCTACAGTATCCAAAACCCACATACTTGTTTGAGATGGGAATAGCCACAGGAGATTCCTGCACTTCCTACCTACCACTCCTACCTTTCCGAGCAGTAACCCATCTACCTGATTGTATTTATAGTTTTCCTACCTTCCTGAAACTCCATCAATCACACTCCCTGGTTCCTGCAAGTTCATCATTGCCTCTGGCTGCTGCTTCAACTGATCAATACGATCCATTAGGATTCGCATCTAAACACACTTCCCGCAGACATAATCTCCAGGATCGTTGAAATTCTCCCTGATCTTCCACATTGAACAGGAGAAGCATATCGCTCTACTGAAAGCGATCTCTGCCCTTGAACAATCTACAGATTTCTCAAAAACCCAGCGTTAGCACAGTCTTACTGCTCAAAAACACTGCTTTAAGATTTCTGCAGCATTTTCTGTTTTGATTAAAGTTGGGGTCATACAGAGGACACCAAAACTGGAGAAGATGAAGGTTATTGAGCTGGAGAAGGTCAGGGTGAATTTGCCTCCAATAGGATGTTCTTACCCAATGCAGTTATCCTCCCATAACAAAAAACTGGACGTGGATATCATGGTATTGTGGAACTGAATAGACATGTGTTACAACTAACCATTAAACACAAATGTTACATTGAGGCATATTATCACTCAGATTTTTTTTATTGGGCTGTTGGTTCAAACAGGAAGAAGCAGAGTTAACCATGCGTGACATTGTCCACATTTGACATAAGTGAATGCTTTCACAAATTCTTTTCTGCACGCACAGTTTTAGTATTCTGGATCTATGCCAGAAGATGGAGTCAAATGAGTTCTGAGTTTAGGCTACGATGTATTTAAGACAAAAGGCTTTTGGTCTCACAACTTTGTTCATTTGCTGCACTGCACCTCTTCTTTGTGAGCTCTTTATCTCCAAAAAGGAACCAAACTAATTAATTAAAATGGTGAAATAAGTTTGTTTTGCTAAGGCACGTGTAAGGTACACATTTATGCCAGCAGATGAGGATATTTGAATTTAAAAACTAGGTTTTTGATATTTGAGAAGTAGCATGCGTTTCCTGCATGTACGACAGAGGGTACAGTCAATAGACGTGATGCTGGAAAAGCGCAGCAGGTCAGACAGCATCGGAGGAGTAGGAAAGTCAATATTTCGGGCTGAAGCGTTGACTTCGCTGCTCCCCGGATGCTGTCTGACTTGCTGGGCTCTTCGACCTACACATCTGTTGACTTTGCCTTCCAGCATCTGCAGTCCTTACTGTCCCCACAACAGAGGGTGTAAATATTACTCCTTGTACGGCAACTTTATTTCTGGTTAGATCAGTACACCTAAAGATGTTGCTAAAGCAAATTAGAATCAAAGACAATGGTATTGAGCAAAGTTAAGCACTAGATTTTGAAGCATCTAGATTTTTCTTTCCTTGAGATTGCATTGAACTATGAAGACCTTGATCGTTGTATAGTGTCATTTGCCTTTTTTTTTGTTAAGTATCAGTCAATACACTACGAATGTAGTGTTCTGGTAAATCAAACCGCTTCCAATCACGCAGCTGCCTTTGTGAACAATCTGACCCACCCAATCTTGTGTACTTAGAGTTGGTTGAATTTTTATTGTGCTAACCTGTTGCCCAAATTATGCAAAAAGTCTGAACTTAGTTTAAAATGTATTGCAAAAATGCAATAGAAATCTACATGGATTGCAGTGATGGCACACAGCTTAGTTTTGGCAGTTGTTCATTTTCTAAATGGGTTTCTCCTGTGACTTTGAAATAACTGCAGAGGCCGGTATCCCATCATCAAGTCACCACTTATTTACATGTGCACCGTGCAAGGACTGTGACCAGCCAGTCTCTAGACTGAGGACACCTTCCTCATCTCCTGTTTATACCTGTCAGCCAGGGCTCCCTGATTGGGACTGTTAACCTGGGCCAATCAAGGATCTCATAGTCAATGGGATTCACCTGGCCTTGGTTCTAATCACTACAGACTTGAAAGTAATAATGTGTAATTTGGAATGCAGTTGACTGTTATATTATGGTTGTGATTTATGTTCCACAGTTGCTACATGAACCTTCATTTTGAGTTCATTTCTTCTGCCTTTGCTGAATTTTGATACCTTCTTCTATAATTCCAAAATGTTTAAAAAAAATTGTATTACTTGAAGCTGATTTCATTGTTTGTGCGTTTGCGTGTATTAGGTTTAAGCCCTATCGGGTTAAAAAAAAGTAGAGGAAAACAAAATTCTCACACAGAAATGAGAACAATCTGGAAAGTCCGTTCATTAGTGGTGCCAGAGAATGGAGTTGAGGCTGCAGGGCACTGAGTATTGAGAAATCATGTGGTTGCGTTGAAGTTATAAAGTCATAATGAGTTTAGCTTGCAGACTGTTTTTTAAGTGTCTCAGGGGAGAGACACTAGCAGGAAGAAAATAGTGAATGCATGCAAATTTGCCAAAATGAAACCAGTTGCAGCTGCATCTGTGTGGGCCTGAGCAAAATTACCTTGGTGTCAAGATAGTAACATCCCTTTTCTGAGGGCTAAATATTTTTCTGGATATTGCTGGGATGAAAGGAATCGTGTGTTTTTTTTTGTTTGTTTGTTTGTTTTAATCCCTTTCTGATATGTGTAATGAAATCTTTCCAACTTTTTGTCTAGTATAATGTAGTTCATGTTTGTCCTAGTCTTGATATTTGTGTCAAAAGTACACTGGCCATCTCTTTTAAATGTGTTTAATAACTGACCTCCTACGGTCTTCTCTAAAAAGAAAGTAAAGTTGGAATCTAACAGGCCAGGTTTTATTCTGGAATCTGACGTGTCCATTATTAACATCAGCTGTGATCATGACAAGCAAGGTTTAAGGATGCAGTTATAGGATTGTATATGCTAAGATTCAGTTTTGTGACTCAGTATACTTCTTCCACAGATGGTGTTTTACATTGAAGCTTGTGAGTCTGGATCGATGATGATAGACCTGCCAAGGAACATTCATGGTACCTAAATTCATAGGTTAATGTTTTATCTTGTGTGGAAACCATAAACCTCAGTACCAGAATGCTCCAAAAATGGTTTTGTTTTAGTAATTGTCCAATCATAGGTTTTCTAATGTTTGAAGTGAGTGTTTGCTTCTTATATTTTGGCATTCCAATCTTTTCCCCCAATGGATTTCTAATGCTAATTAATATAAACTTGGAATAATCCGGTGTTCTTGCTGAAATCAAGCTGAAATAACCCTTTATTTAAGCAACAAGTTAACATTAGTTTGGTTGTATTAGCTAAAGTACTATTGTAAATTTTACATTCAGCATTATTTAACAACATTTTTTAGCTTATTTGTAAACTGTAGATTTTAAGTTATGTTGTGTTGCACAATGTTTTATGCATGGTATATTTCTTTAGTTGAACTCGAAAATTGTACTCAACTAACGATCCACTTTACATACATCGGACATTTCTCCCTGACTGAATATGTTTCCTAATGATTTTTGACCATTAGGAGTTGTTTAAGTGTTTAAGCTGTTTAACTTGCAGTATATGCTTCCTTTTGCTTTCCTTTGCTTCCCATAAATGAGCCACCTCCAACTGTGATGTCCAAAGAGACTTGGGGGTTCAGGCGCATAAATCTTTAAAATGTCATAAACAAACAGATGCAGAAAATAATCAAGAAGACTAATGAAATGTTGGCTTTTAAAAATCTAAGAGTATGGACTACACGGATGCAGCACATGGCTCCTGTTCTGCAGCTATACAAAGCCCCACTTGGAATACTGAGAAGATATGGACAGCACACTTGGAAGGATATATTGACCTTGGAGGGAGAAAAATATAGGTTTACAAGAATGATACCTGTACTTCAGGCTTTAAGTTATGAGCAGAGATTATACAAATCAGGCCTGTTTACTCTAGGATTTAGAAGGTTAAGGGGCAAGCTGATCAAAGTCTTTAAGATATTAACGGGAAAAGACAATAGATAAAGTATTTCCACTGGATGAGGATTCTAGAACTGGGCCATAGTCTAACAGTTAAGGCCAGACTATTCAGGAGAGATGCAATGTGGAGTAAAGTTCAGTGCAAACGATAGTACTGATATAAAAGTTATTCCTGCTGTACATTCCCAGGAATACACTTCCTAGCCTTCCAAAATCATCAGTGCTTCCTTTTTATCAGAGACAAAAATAAAAATTGTTGGAAAAGCTCAGGAGGTCTGGCAACATCTATGGAGAGAAATCAGAGTTAACATTTTGGGTTGAGTGACCCTTCCTTGGAACTTCCTCAGACCCATTTTATCAATCCACCTGAATATCTTGCTGGTTGCCCACTTCCCATGCTGCAACCTCCATGAGTCACTTGGACCACAGCTAGGACCCAATTCCAGCAGGGTCTGGTAGCATCTATGGAGAGAGGAGCAGAGTTAACATTTCGTGTCCAATAAGATTCAACTTTGAATTTTGAAGCCCTGGAGAAAAGTCATAATGGATCAAAATGTTAACTCTACACCTGTCTCCAAAGATGGCAGCCAGACCTGCAGAGTTACTCCAGCATGTCCTTTTATAATTCCTTAATTTTTTTACTCCAGTCCTTTACAATAAAAGCCAATATGCCATTTTCCTTCCTAATTGCCTGCATAATTGCTTTCTGCTGTTTGTACGAGTATGTCTGTTTCTCTGAACAACATTTACAAGTTTCACAACTTTTAAAAATGATGCTGCTTTATTTGCTTTAGCAGTAAAAATAACCTCCCGTGATGCTCTTGCCCCTTTTCCCCTCTAAGTGCCTTAGTGTTTTCTGCATTAAAAGTTACTGTATAAATGCAAGTAATTTTTTTTTCTACTCTTCACGTGCAGTGCCACTTTAGTAGACTGAAGCAAGAACTTAATTGTCTTTTAAGTAGTACGGTGCCATCTTTGAAAATGTTGTTAATGTTTTGCTATTTAAGTAGGACATGTATGGCTTTTCTAGCGTTTTCCTTCAGTATTTGAACATTTCACTTTTTACCCACAAATCACATTTTACCCCCCCACTTTTTTTTCCCCATTAAACCCTACCATTCTGATTTCAGTATTTGCCACTACTGCTGCTAACGAACAGGAATCATCATATGCCTGTTACTATGATGATGAAAGACAGACCTATTTGGGTGATGTGTACAGCGTCAATTGGATGGAAGACTCTGACCAGGTACGTAACAATACATTAAAATTTTAATGTTAAGCATACAGGTTGCAGAGTAATTTATTTCTATTTGTTCGCACCTCCCTCTCCTTCCAAAGTATTTAGCTATGAACTAGAATTGGTGTAAATGTTGGTCCAATATAAATTGTTCGCTGCCCAAAAGTCCCTGGCAAGATTATCCCCATGCTTTTGTGTCCGGCTACAATGTAACTTAACGGTCAGTGAGCATATCCAGGTAACCAAATTTTGTATTGCAACACAGAATATAAGTAGTGGAATAATAATGTTTTAGAAGTATTGGGAGTTTCCCATTTTGGTGGAAAGACATGGTGAGATAATATAAAATAAGGGGTACAATTCTAAAGGCAGTGCAGGAGCAGAGGGATCTGGGTGTACATCTCTATAAGGCATTAAAGGTGGCAGAGCAGGTGGAGAAAGCAGTTAAGAAAGAATATAGTATCCTAGGATTTATTAGTAAGGTCAAAGAGTTCTTGAGCAAGGAGTTATGCTGAACCCATATATGATTACAGGGATGAAAAACTTCAGTTCTGAAGATGGATGGGAGAAGTTTGGGCTCCTTTCTAAGGAGAGGAGAAGGCTGAGATGAGATATGAGGAAGTTCTCAAAATCAGGAGGGGGCTGGATAGGGATAGGGAGAAACTATTCCTGCTTAACAAAGCATAAAAGAATCAAGAAAGAGAAGATGCAGATTTTAAAGTGACTTTCAAAGAATCGTATGCAGTGTAAGAGAAAACATTTTCACACAGTGAGTCAGGAATGTACTGCCTAGACATGTGGTGGAGGCGGGTTCAATTCAGACATTCAAGATGAAGATGATTTGAATATGAAAAATGAACAAGGTTAGAGATAATATTCTGTCTAAGCTGTACAGCTGCATAGTCGCTCTGAAGTTCCCCCTAGGTTCTGCACTTGCCAGTTGGTGCTTCTACTCATTTACACTTCACAAGTCAGCAGCATTTCTGGACCTCCGAGGACAGTGCACAAGAAAGAGAAAAAGAGGGTGTATTGGTTACAAGGAAAAGGCAGGAGATTGGCACTAATTCACGTACATATATATTATCTGTACCTACTTCAACTGAACAAAATAAGTGACAGTCATTTTTGCGGCTTCACTTCTCAGGGTATTGCCTTAATAAACCAGAATCAGCCTACCTGGTTTAAAGTTTTAACAAAGTTTAGTAGTTAATTGTCATTCATCATTAACTGGTACATTCTCCTTGATAGTGCCTCTATCATTCAGAGTCCACTTGCCAACCAATCAGCGTCTCCACGTTTACAGTATAAATGTGGGTTTCCCTTTGTATTCTTTTGTCCTGATGAGTGCAAAGCTAAAAGCTTCAGCAAAACTGTTTTTCTTCTCAGCAATACTCAAGTTCTGTGTGACTAAATGATTGATCAGCATTCTGCAAAGGGATGCATTTTGGCTTTTATTAACTTGCTTTAACTCAGAATTGAAAAGCATCAGGAGTGTATAATTGTGAAATGCTGATATTGCAGTTTCACTTATGACTTGAAGTATTTACACTGTAAATGTGGAAATTTGTTGTTTGTTTTTTGGAGGATGTCGAAGTTTATACCACATCACATGCCTTGGGTATATTTGAAACCCAACTGGCTGCTGTGTATTAATATGTGGAACTAGTCTTGTGGTATTGAAGACATCTATTTCCGTTCCCATCCTTTTATAGGAGGACCTTAGAAAAGAATCACTACACAAACAATTCAAAATTGTAAAGAGACGGACCAATACCAGTCATGTACAAGAGTATGGAAATCTGGTAAGAATTTGAACTTATCATTCCCTATAATAGCATTTATTTCATAACTTTAGGAGGAGGAGTCTGAACTGTGTTGCACAAGGGGGATGTAAACATGTGAAATTGGAGCAAGTTAACCATATGACCCCTTGAACCTGCTTCCTTATTCAGTAAGATCAGGTTGAACTTCTAAATCGATCCCACTTCCACTATAACTTCCCTTGGCGCTGAAAAATCTGCTAATCTCAACCTTGAATATGCTGGAATATCTGAGTGTCCACAACAATCTGAGGTAGAGGATCCAAGATCCACAAAATTTTGAGTGGAAATTGCTTCCTTACCTTAGTTTTAAATGACTGAGCCCTTAACCTGAGATTACAACCTGAACATTCCCTCCCTATTTTGGGCGGATAGCACTGGGAAAATGCCCAACCCCACAAACATGACTGGGGTGAAAGTGCCCTCGATGTTTTGTTTCTCACTGTGGGTAGTTTCAACAGAAACTATCTCAAGGTGAGCTGTGTGAAATGCTTGCTTTGGTGCACTACCTTACCTTGTTAATTTCTCTTTAAACTAGAAACTCTTTCTATCTTCTTACATATTTCAGGTTTCTGAGAATCTCTAATTTTCACCCTTAATTAAATGTTTTGATCATCTTATGCTTTTTTTTATATTCTGTCCAATCTGTTGACCTGCTACCTGTTTTTGCACCCGGTTTAACTTGCTTTGATTTGGATAGCATATTTAATATTTCTAGTGAACCACAGATGGTGGGTCTGTCCCTTGGAACATTTATTACTTTGGAATCTATTTACCCTGTGTATATTCTGCATCTATATTAACCTGTTTTTAACCTAATTTGCTGAATCATGCTTTGATGTCTTCAAATGTGCCATTTTTTTTAAAACAAATTTGAACAAAAGCCTTGCACCTGCCCATCAATTTGAAATAAAAAGTTCAATCATCTGGTCGGTGCCACCAAGGGAAGCCTTTACTGTGACGTTGTGCAACGAGATAGGATTGATTAACAATGTCAGGTCTGGTGTAGCCTGCTCTCTGTTTGGCTCCAGAACATGCTATCTAAGAAACTATCCTGGAAACGTTCTGTGAACTCCTCGTCCAGACTACCTTTGCCTATCTGACTGTTCCAGTCAGTACGTAGATTAAAATTTTCCATGTGCCATGCTTTTTTGATGAGCTGCAATTATTTCTTCCTTTGTGCCACCCTACTGGATGGTTACAGTTAAGGGACATGTACATCACTCCCACAAGTGACTACTTTCCTCGATCAATTCTTATTTCTACCAACACTGTTTCTGCATTCTTAGTTTTCTGAACTTATGCATTCCCTCTCCATTGTGCTAATTCCATCCTTAACTCACAGAGCTGCCCCTCCCCTATTTCCTACCTTCCTTTCGTTCCTGTACCCTTCATGGTTCAAGTGTCAAACCATGTCTTGCTCTTGTGCTAACACCGGTAACTAGTGGTCACAATTTCAAGATTGTCAGCAAGAAAGAAAGGAATGAGATGTTTGATAGGATTTGGAATGTGTTGCCTGGGAGAGTGGTGGAGGCGGATTCCATCAGAGGTAGTAAAACAGAGCTGGATATGTATTTGAAAGTAATGAAGTTATAGGGCTGCGGAGATGGGGCTAGAGAGTGGGACTAGGTGGGTAGGTGTTTCAGGAGCCAGTACAGACACAATAACTCAAATGGCCTCCTTCTGTAGTGTAAAACTTCTGTGTTTCTATTTTCATCCCCTGCTTGCTGCTGTCCACCAAAATTCGATGCAAGCTGGAGGAATAGTAACTCAATGACAAGCGTCAGGACTCAACATTGAGTTCAACAACTTCAGAATGTGAACACTGTCCTCTGTTTTGATTATCTCACATCCCCAGTGTCTGGTTTTTATGGGTTTGCTCTCACCAAAGCTGAACTATTTTCTACAATTCACATCAACCATTTAATGCCTTTTTTTGTTATCTATATCTATATCTCCCTACCACTATCAGTCGTCCCTTTTTTACCTTCTGAGCACCTACATCATCTATTCCACTTGTTCCTACTCCCACTTTATAAACTGCATTAAAAAAATGACATTTTTCAACCTCCTTCAGTTCTGAAGAAATAAATTGGACTCAAAATGTTAACTGTTTCTTGCTCACTGCCAAACCTGCTGAGTTTCTCTGGCAATTTCTGTTCTTTCATTTAAATATCTTCAGTATCCCCAGTATTCTTACTCAAGCTATGTCAGCATTTTTACCCTAAGGCTCAATGCAAATTTGACCTTCACTCAACTTTGAGACAAAAACTGTACACTGTTCAGATGTGGTCTCACCAAGACGTTCTTGATTGCAACAAGACTGTGTTCTTATGCTGCACTCTCTTTGCAATAAAGCCTTTGTACCATTTGCTTTCTAATTGCTTTCCTCAGCCTTCATGTTAACCATTTTTTTTGCCCCTTTGTATTTGACAGCTAATTCATTCCAAATCCAAAAATGTACCAGTCTGTCACCTTTTTTTGCTCAAAATTAAAAAGCTCTCCCATTTCCATTCTTTCATTCAGAGTGACCATTTAAAACATTTGTACTTATACACTTCCTTATTCAATCGATATCCATTTGCAGGCTCTCGGCACCATCCTTGCTGCTTACTTATCCACTGAGCTTTGTGTCATCAGCAAACATGGGAAAACTGCACTTGATCGCATTGTCTAATATGGAATTTCAACTGTAGCTGTGGAAAGGAATAAAAATAAAACAGGTTTTCTTCTGAATGTTGATGTTCACTCAGAATATGTTTCTTTGTGGCTGAAAATTTAATTAACTTGAGAAAGCAGACAGTCAATGGATCTATGATTATTCTGCAGACTGAGAGCCCTGGTTTCCATAAATAGGAATGTTACATTTGTTGATGATATTAGTTTTGCATGTCCAGTATTTTCAAACTTGTGACGTATTGGTGCTTTTCCTTTCCTGCCACTGCTTTAAATTAGAGATGACTGAAAACAAAAGGTTCTGTTCTGAGTCTTGCACTTTTAAAAGGTCCCTGGCTTCCTTTGTTGTGAAGGCCTAAATGAAAATTAATAATTGGCTCTAAAATAGCCAGCCCTGCAATTAATTTGAATGTGATCTTTTTCTCACGGAGGTCAGACTTTGCATTTATGGCCATGATCTCTGCGCCAGTGCATATGCCACCCCTTCTCAATTCTGATCTGAAGTTAGAATACAGGATTATTGAAGCAATCACCTTCACCATTTCAACAAGAAAATATCAAGAATAATCTATGTTTCTAAGGTTACAACTAAATCAGCTATGAAAAATGGATGTGATAAGATTTTTTTTTCAAAAAATGACCTTGAATTTAAATATCATCCTTCACTTAATAAGTACCTATTGAAAGGTTGTGATGCAGGTAAATGCAGCCATATTTGGATGCCAGAATTCTTAAAATAATAACTACCAATTATTCACAGGGGAATAATGACTTTGGGACTTTGAAGGATTATCTTAATTTCCTTTTAACTGGGATCATAATTCTTGGTGGCAGGTAGAGAGCCTTATTTAATCTAGAAAGCAGAATGTTCCAAAGTGCAGCACTCGCTCAGTACTGCTTTAGTGTATGATGTGTAGATTGTGCTCAGGTTCTGGAATCACACCTGAGTGCACACACTTTGTGACTCTGAGACAAGAATATTAACATTAAATGAAGCTCACACGTTGCACGTTTAAAGGTAATTTTAAATATGGAAGTCTTATCGTATTTGTTTTCCCACTTCCCAGACACTTTCGCACATGAAACTGAATGCATTCCAGGGCTCAAAGAAGGCTGACCTCAATGCAACCCAGCCTCTGGTCAATATTGTGGATGCAGTACCAAGTCCTGATGTTCCTCTTGCCATTCTTAAACGGAAATATATGGCAACAAACGATATTGAGATGGGTCAGAAGCTCCTTTTCGAGATCAATGCACTTCTGGAGGTGAGCAGAGCATAGCAAAAAGTCATCTAATCAAAAATTCTTTGCTTTTCTCTCTGCAATTAAGGAATCTGGGAAATGGCTGAGAGGTTGAATAATTAATCTGAAGAGCACCCTGTCTAGTGATAATTCCATTCATATTCTTCTAGCAGCAAGAGTCTGTAGATTTTTTAAAAAAAGTGACTAGATACTGTCATTGGTAATGCCAACCTATATTAATCTGCTTATTTGAATTTACTGTGATAGTGAGGGCCAAAATTTTGTGGAGAACCTGGGAAGGCTGATGTCCTTCCGCTCCAAAAAGGTCCCACTTTGCCATATTTTTATTTTGGCCAGTTGGTTTGGAATGGGTTTGGGCCACTAGGCAGCACGGTGGCTCAATGGTTAGCGCTGCTGCCTCACAATACCAGGGACCCGGGTTCGATTCCACCCTTGGGCAACTGTGTGGAGTTTACACATTCTCCCCATGTCTGCATGCGTTTCTTCCGGGTGCTGCAGTTTCCTCCCACAGTCCAAAGATGCGCTGGGCGGATGGATTGGCCATGCTAAATTCCCCATAGTGTCCAGGGATATTTAGGTTAGGTGGATTAGACATGGGAAAATGCAGGGGTAGGGGAATGGGTCTGGGTGGGATGCTCTTCGGAGGGGCGGTGTGGTCTTGTTGGGCTGAATGGCCTGTTTCCACACTGTAGGGATTCTATGATTCTATGAAGCAGCAACAGAAGCTGGGTGATGGCAAAACAGCAAACAGGGACACATACCTGTTTCCTGGGGTGAAGGGCGCAGTCAAATGATGAGTCAAAATGTTAACTGTTTCTTGCTCACTGCCAAAGCTGTTGAGCTTCTCTGGCAATTTCTGTTCTTTCATTTAAATATCTTCAGTATCCCCAGTATTCTTACTGAAGCTAGATGGTGTTACAGATATCTTCTTGACTTTTTAAAAAAAGCAAAGCTTGTAGTGGCCATTCTTAAAATTTTTCTTATGGTAGATTTTCTAATTGTATCTCTGGATTGACCATGTATAGCAACAAGAAAGCAAGCAGATACAAACTGCATCCGTTTTTAGTTAATCTAATCACACACTTTTGGATTTCTTTTGTGCAATGTCACTTTCTAAATAATCCTTGACCAGTCTATCTATTCTTTGATAGAATAAGCACTTAATTCAGAAGTCCATGGAAAGGATTGTGTCCGTTGTCACAGGATCTGAGGAGCATACAGCGCGGATAATAAATTCACGAAGTCGTATCCATGATCATGGCTGCTACCAAGCTGCAAATTATCATTTCAAAACTCACTGTTTTAACTGGCACACGCCGCTGGTAAATATAAAATTATTAGTTTTTTTTTCCAAAGGTGCTGTACGTTTGCTGTGTCATGTATTGTTTAATTAGGGCACGAGTCACTTTTCAGGTTTGGAATGGGTCCACCAGAATTTCTTTGTTTGAGAATTACAGACAAAGAAAATAAAGGTTACATTTGTTACTGGCTCATTGTAAAGTATCAGTTGTAAACCAGTTTCCAACTCTAGCTGAAGAATGGGTAACACATCTGAAACAAATAGTTGCAAGCTGGGTGAAACCTTTCTGATGCACATGTCTCATCTTCATCTTTTGTGGGTGCAGTTCCAGTGTTATCCAATGTACCTCAAACAAAAGGGATTATTCCCTGTCTGAAACTATGCATGGAGTGCTGCGTTGCTGTTTGGGCATATAGACCACCACCACAGAGTGTACTCGTGTCGTTGTCAGCCAACCAGACCATCAATAGAATTCCCAGGATAGGAATCAGAAGCAGGTAGCTGGGGCATTTCGTCCCAACTCCATCTTTTCCCTGGCTTGTGGTGCAAAGATCTAGACTGGTGTTGCTGACTGCTGGGAAATTGTAGCAACTCAACTGTTTGAAGGTGTTTTCCACCAGTGAAACTGCACACTGAAAATGGTAGCCCTGTTTTCAATAGTGGAAGACAAATACTTTCGGATGTCAATCTTAGTTGTCTAATAATGTAATAAAAATTATACATTGGCACTGTGTGAGTGATCTCTCTTTGGATAAAGATGCACAAATGTGCATTTTGTGTTCTGAATCACTTAAATCTAGTGTAGCTAAAGAGCATTTAATGAATTCTTTACATTTGTGAAAAGATAATATGATAGGGTAGGTCCTTGAAAATCATTTACAACAAGCATTTTAAAATTAAACATTTAACCTTTAAACCGAAATTCAGTTCTTTGACATAAAGTCGGAGTCATACAGCAGGGAAACAGACCCTGCAGCCCAATTAGTCCACGTCCCCATGTTCCCAAGCTAAACTAGTCCCACTTGCCTACGTTTGGCGCCTATCCACCAAACCTTTCCCATTCATATAGTTATCAAAATGTCTTTTTAAATGTTGTAATTGTACCCACATACATCCTTATCTCTGGCAGTTCATTCTGCATACCAAACATACTCTGTGTAAAAAAAAGTTGCTCTTCAGGTCCTTTTTAAAATCTTTCTCCTCTCACCTTAAAACTGTGCCCTCTAGTTTTGAACACCCCCAAGACTCTTGCTATTCACCTTTTCTATGCCCCTCATGATTTTATAAACCTTTATTAGGTCACCCTAAACCTCCTACGCTCCAGTGGAAAAAGTCCTGGCCTATCCAGCCTATCTTTTTATAACTCAAACCCTCCATTCCCGGCAATGTCCTGGTAAATTTTTTCTGAACCCTCTCCAATTTAATAATATCCTTTGTGCTGAAAATGTGGTCTGAATTTTGGTTTCAATTCACATTTAATAACGAAGAAATGCTGCTGTATATTTTCAATGTTGTTATTTTTCTTTCAGTATGAATATGCACTGAGACAACTTTATGCTTTGGTCAATCTTTGTGAAGAAGGTTTCCCAGTAAAGAGGTAAATTTTTTTTTTTTTTTTTTCCTCCTTCAATCTGTTCGTTGGTCATGGTAAGGGATGCATTTGTTGACTATCCCTATTGGCTTGTGAGGCTGTTCCAGAGGGTCGTTAAGAGTCAATCATATTACCTTGGATATGGAGACATATGTAGGTCAGACATGGTAAGGACTACGCATTTCCTTCCCTGTAGGGCGTTACTGAACCAGATCGTTCTAAAAATCTCTCTGCAGTAGTTGTAATGATCACCAGTACTGAGAGTAGCTTAATATTCTAGACTTATTATTTATAATCTACGTTTATTAATTGAATTTAAATTCCATCAGCTGCTTTGCTGGGCCTTGAACCAATGTCCCCAGAACCTCAATGTCTAGTTTGCTGATTCGGTGACATTACCATTTCCTCATACAATGATCTTCAAATGCGTAAATACGAAATAGGAGCATAAGAGACTATTTAGCCCTTCAAACTGGCTCCACCATTCAATATAATCATAGCTGATCTGTTTTTGTTTCAAATTCTACGTTCCCATTGACCCCAGATAGCCCTTTATTCCCCAGCCTACAAGAATACATGCATCTCTGTCTTGCCTTGCCTTCACTGCCTTCTGAGACAGAAAGCTCCCAAGTCACACTACACAACAATTTGTGACTGAACCTTTTCTCCCCATCTCTATTCTGAAAGAGTGACCCATAATTCTAAAACAGTGCACCCTGCTTCTGGACTAACTCGCAAGAAGAAACACTTGTCCACTTTATCAAGACCATTCAGGATTTTATACACTTCAAAATAGTCACCCTTCACTCTCCTAAACTCCAGCGGAAAAACTATTCAACCAGTCTTGTAACAACCCACTCATTCATTCAGATGTCCATAACTTGGCATGGAGGGTTGGGTTACGTGGAGGATCTTCTTGAAGTTGCCATTCAAAAGGTTTTCTCGTGCACACTACGGCTCATGATGCCTCTGAGGTGCTGTCAAGCATGACCCTTTTATAAATCTGGCCCACCTCCGTAAAAAT